GAAGTGAGGTGAGGACAGTTTGTCCTCTGACGTCAAAGTTTAACATCAGTTTATCTTAAAAAAAGAAGGATACCCCTTCTTCAATTTCCTTGATATTGGGCAATCTACATGTAGTGTGAGACATGACGCACCTTCGTCAAGGATGGATGCATACTAGCCAAGCACATTATTACATTTCCAACGACACTAATTTAAGTTGTCAGTAGTACTGAAAACACACTCAAGAATACATCAATGACACGTGTTCTGTTACCCCTGCCCCCCCCCCCTTGTTCAAAATTAATTATAACCGTGAATGTGTTTATTGAAAATCGCTTGTGTAGAGCTTTTGCCTTGTTTCTTCTCCTGTCTAGAGCTACCGGTATTTGATACAAAGGGAGATTTGTGGGAGACCTCGTGGGGGGGGGGGGGGGATGTTTGAACACATTGCTGACAGTGCCTAATGTTCATGCAAAGACACACAGGATTGTGAATAAAATTTGTCGAGCGTACTTCATGCCATATGCACACAAACCAATAGGTCACTCGCAAAGACGGCCATCTCTGTAGGAAAACTGCAACTGCGTATTTTACGCAATCAAGCTGGCATTGTGCAGTGTTAAAAATGTTCCAAACACGCGCGCTTGTTGCTGGAAATGTGTTTGAAATACGATGCAGCCGATGTGCGTAACGCGAGTGCCGATGCCGATGCCGCTCAAAAAGCCGATGGACTTGGCTGGACTGTACTAGGAAATGACATCATTTGAGAGAGACGTATAGGCACATGCGGTGTGTCCTCAGTGGGGCTCTCCAAAGTGGTCTAAATTTAAAACACCATCTACTGTTCATGCACGGTGTCCATGGAGGTAGGCATAGCTGTGGATGCTGCTTCGGCCACTGCCCTTATTTCCAAGAACTTGATTTTCCAGGATATTAGGGTAGGAGGAAGTTTTAGATATGGCTGTTACATACATGTAAAACCATAGGAGGTTTCTTGAAAAGGTCACCTACATGTATGGTACATTGTACAACACATGTACATTTGTAAATTTGGAAAACCATCCTTTTAGTTGGGATGGGCCGAAAGGTTGTGCTTCATACGTTTACATAAAACATACTAAAGCTACATGCGGTACGCACCCAGCCTCGGGTTGAAGTGTCCCACCTTTGTTCAACCCAATAAGTATGTATGTTGTTGAAAATGGAACCTAATCATGTGTCCATTGTGATTTTTTCCCCTTGTTTTAAACTTTTAATGGCAGTTTTGGTCTGTTCCTTGCTCTATGGTCTGTCAAAGCAGCTTCGGGTGTCATTACTCAGTTCCTGGCTGAACCATACACAGCTCTAACAAATGCCTGATGAAACATGACACATAAAATGTGTTTGACATGAGATACTCACATCCATCATTGTTATGAATAATTGATGAACCTCACAAAATGGAACCATGACATGGGGACCCAGATACATTAATTGACAGCCCCGAAGAGAAACACGATCCTTGTCATACCGTCTCCGGGAACATTAATTCATCTTACGCACATTTGCACAATAGGCACTCATCACTCATTCTCGCAGCATCCGTATTTTCACATTGTCCTTTTAACCCCCCCACCCTCTACCCCTTTCCCCTCCCATGAAATTTATAACACCCCAAGTGTTTACCGGTCAGTGTAAATAATCTAGTCATCCCCGCTTAATCTCAAAACCCACGCTCTCCATCACGAACACTCGGCCAAACATGATGCTCATTTTGCCCCCTGGATCATATTTTTGCCTCAAGTTCAGCCCTGGAGTGAACTGCACTTTCTCCTCCCCGGCGATTTGCAGACGATACTCCATTCCTTCAACCCCATTTCCCCCCCCCCCCCTCACCCGCGACATCCACCTACCGGTACCCATTAGTAACACGATTACTCCCCTTATATAAATGTCTGCATGAGTAAACAACGGAGCGTGCCCGTTTTGTGTGGGTTTTTTTTTGCGTGGGGAACGTGTTGGAGCATTAATTTGTTTCGACCGATGTCCACAATTTCTGTCTCATGATACATGTACTACAGGGAGGGTTGGATCATGGTTTGGAACAGTAATGCTGAAGGTACATTTTGTACCACATGTGGTTTAAAAAGTCTTTCTTTAAGCTGTTGTTAATGTACATTTTTAGATTTCTTGAATAATAAACAGTGAATACGTAAACTTATCGTACGTTAGGGTACAGTGGCTTGCTGAGGGACACAATGTATTGCCAGCAGCTGGATTCGAAACCTCTTGACCCTCTGAGTCACATACTCCTTGCTGCCAGAGGCAGTGTTGAATCATGAATGTGATGAGCAATCTGAATGGATACATTGTGCGCTCTGAAATGGATTAACTGTTTCTTGTACATAGTTTTGCAAAATTATGCAGACTGACTGTAGGATATGTGTAGAACAATGGATAATGCATACCATTTATCAACTGTAAAAAACAAAAACAAAACTTAACTATCCGTCTGCCATAAAAAGGTAGAAAAAATTGTGGCTTCAAGTCAGAGCTAACAGACAGAAATGTGAAATTCTCAGATGATGATATTCATCTACAGAACATCACTACACTACAGTGTGGAATTTGGTGTTTTTTATCTCCAGTTTATTCTCCATCATCCCATAACACTGAAATTGTTGCCAACAGCCTTAAAGGGAATATACATGTACAACATTTGTTTTTGCTGTTATTTCCAGAAATACCGGTAGGATGGATTTAGGGGTTAGTATATTGTAACAAATATTGTTACAATGACTTGTTTAAAGTTTTGTGTTCATACCGGTAGATGCTGGAAAAATCAAGGAAAAAAAGCCGTTCGTGTAGTCTGGTTCCCTAACCCTACTTCAGACATCGGGAATTGTCAGGTCAGGAAACCAGACTAGCTGGCTTGCACCCGTTCATGGATGTACCGGTATACCAATTGCAAACAAAATTTGGTAAATTTGGGGCAGTTGGAAAAGTCAGTTTTTTCCAACGATGGTCAGCTGACAATCATTGGAAATTGATATAAAAATTCCACTTTTCTTGAAAATGACAGCACACCAGGTGCCATGATTTCACAGGATGCTTGAGACTTTTATACACTTGCAGTCAAGTGAGGTATTTCATAATTGTTTAGTGGTTTTGTTTCAGATGTTTGCAGATGTTGTATATTGCCTTTAATAAAGACATTGTAAGCGTGTTGGATTACACATTGTAAAAATGTTCACTTGCTTGTGTCTGAGTGTGCACACATGTGCACATAAATAAAATATTGCGGTGGATTCTTTACTAAGTAAGGTGCATGCACGCTTAATCTTTTTCATCTTTGAACTGTCCACCACGCATCATACATTTTTCAGCATTATGCACCCAACAACGCACAAATACCCATTTGAACCCTGGGATCGACAGTCTGTTAAAATATTCACCCGTTCTTAACACTTCCCTATCATCGCTGTACGCCAGCCGCGAAATCTGTCACTACAAGGGAGCGCGAAAGCATCTGTCAGGCCGTTGCTTGGTGTTTTTTCTACCTCAACGATTGCTCGGTCGCCCTTGCTTATTAAGAGATCGCCCGTTTAATAAATTAGGATACGAGGGGACGAATTGATGTTTACACCTGCACAGTGCGGGTAGGTCGAAGCTTACGATTTCGCTCGACCCCCATTACCTCGGGGCAAATTTGACGTGCTGATTCATACCTGTATTCGTATGAGCACAAATTTTGCGGAGAACAGCAGGGATGTGCCGGTATTCAAGTCCATCAAAAAAAACCTGCAAATCCCTGCAAGTCCATCAAAAGTCCTTAGGTCCTGTTTCAACTCACAAGCTATTCAAATGAGTTTTTATAATTCCTTTGTCATTGTTCATGCACTGTCACTTTTATTTGGACTTGTGACTGGACTTCTGATGGACTTGTGATGGACTCGACTACGTCCCTGGAGCACAGACTGGTTCTGAGGCCCCCCCCCAAAAAAAAAATGATGTTATTTTATCAAAGGTTGCGGCGCTTTATTGTCAGATGCCACCTTTTTGTCAACAGCAACGTTTTGGGGTTGATGGCAGCTCATTGGTCACATCCTCTTGGGAGGTTAAAGCCCTTTATAGTTATAAAATACTTACTGCAAAACACTCATACAACCCATATCGATTGCCGCAGGCAAATTTTAACTGGCGCGCTCTTTGTACAACTTTTTTACAGGGGCAGCATGCAGTTGCAGCTGGCAGCTTCGAATATCCGAATATTCGGTCAAACACAGTTTCGATTAATCAAATACTATATAATTAAAAAATGGACAGCCAATCCTACAAAATATCAAACCACAGAAAAAAATAGTTCCTTTTGCGCAGATCTGATCAACAGAAGCTGACAGATATTCCCTGCTTTCGAATCTTCAATATCAGCTTTTTGCCCTTCAACGTGTAGACCCTTTCAATGATGTGAATTGGATCTTGTTTGATTTTAGTCTGATTTGGGAGGTTTTTAACTTTCCAATTTATATCTTCTGCTTATCAGCTTCAGGGAGCCACAAAATTCATCCCTGACTTCTACATGTACATGTATTTCCCAGGTTTGCAGCATTGCTTATGTTTTGGCATGTTCCCTGGCTACATGGCATAAATGGGTTCTGACTATAGCACCCCGTCAAAAACATTGACTAAATGAGGGCTGTCAACATAGGACTGGATAAAAAAAAAGCTCAGTTGGTAGAGCATCGGAATGGTGTTCCAGAGGTACATGTAGCTGGTTCAAACCCCGCTTCGATCAATTTCTTTGTTCAATTTCATAATTACTTCAAATAAGAGATTGACAAGAATGTAGTGTAATGTATTAACCACAAGCACCAGTATTACATTGTATTACATTGTATATTCCCCTGTAAATCCTTAAAACCTTAAACTGCTTGGGCAGTTTCGTGTGACACAGGGAGAAACAGCCAGGGCAGTTTGGTGCAGTAGAGGGACTAATTAGTTAAATTGCTAACATAAATTTTTCTGAATCATCAAATTTTCAGACACGATCTGCTAGCGTTCTGCCGGGAACTGAACATGGAGGACGCGGTGCAGGACATCATGGAGCAGCTCGGGGCCGGGGAAACGGGCCGCATCTCCTGCGAGGAGTTCATCAGCTGCCAGCGGAAACTGAAAGGGGAAATCACCACCTGCCTGGCCAAGCAAGACAGCGGGCTGTCGTCCCACCCGGGGAGCCTCGGGGAGCTGGACGCCAAGCTGGAGGGTCAGGGGTCGGTGGGCATGGGCAGTGACCCCAACCTGCCCCAGGGGGTGCTGAACAAGTACGGCTCCTGGCCCAACAGCGATAACAGTCTCGGTGAGGATTGAGCACAGGGTGTGCTATTATTAATTGGCTAAACAATACATGTACATCCATCTGTGTAGGATGAAGCGGTTTGTGTCTGAACTATTGAGTGTGAATGGCGCCCTCTGTTGATGGTGAAACATGGAATCCAAAAGGAAGTGCACTAGTGATGGTTCTAGTCTGGGCAATCTGATTTTTGCTTTTTTTGGGAGGGGGGGGGGGGCACGGAAGGGGGAGTGTGTTAATGGGGGTTGTGCAAGCGCCAAGTCGCTATACATGTACATGCACGGTGGCCCTCAGTGATGGCGGAAGTATTGTACCAGCTTTGTACAAAAGAAAGACATTGTACAAAACAACTAAAGCTAATATCCTTTTTGAAAACTGTAAGTCCACAACAACATTTTTCCCCCCAAAAAAATCAAAAAACAAAAATACCAAAAATACCAAAAATCAGTTACATTTGCCCGTCCAAAAGACAGGTACATGTATGAAAAATGAAACCAGACTTGTGTAACAAACGCATTAATACAAAATATTGATGACAATTTTCCATTTTGTGGCTATGATTCTCGACAGCTTCCTCAGCTGCCAGAGAAAGCTGGGAGCGAGATTCTGGAGCCAGGGACATGAGCCCGGAACCAGGAGCCTTCCTGCAGAAACTCATGGAGAGCGCCAACTCATCATCTACTTCCGGAGGCGGAAACTTCCTGGAACTCGCTAACACAGTAAGTCATCTTTTTTTTTAATGAGCAGGAGCCAGTTTTTCATGTACCGGTAGCTGTTGAGCACAAAAGTATGCTAAGCTAAAAAAGCAAACATAGGTTACCGGCCAAGATGTCATGCAATTGACATTGCTTGTGACTGGTTCTCAGCTCTTTTCCGCTTAGCACATAGGTTTGCTTAGCAATATTCTCTGCTTCAAGGTAATTCGGGGGATACACAATGCAGTGCGCCACCAAGGGTTTGCCATGGAGAGTTCATTTTTCCCAGTGCATTGTGGGAGATGGTTGACAAATTCGCAGCGCGGGACATTTGGTTAGTTTTTCCGGTCAGTAGTTTCGTAAGCGTTTGATTCGAGTATCTGTTTGCCCTTTTCTTTTCTTTTTATCAATATGGTGTAAGGCGGCAGAACGCCATGCCCCAACCTATAACAAATTAGCTCAAGTTGTCTACTGACACTTGTTCAAATTGTTCATGTTTTGTCGACTGTAAACGTGAAAAATTGGCTCTCTACGGCAAACTCTTGGTGGCGCACTGCATTGTGAATCGCCCGAATTATACAACATTTACATTGGCTAAAATTTTCAGAAATAAATGGATTTGGGGGTTAGTATTTTGTAGCCAGTATTGTTACACTGACCTGTATAAAGTTTGTGGTCAAAGATGTTGGAAAAACCAAGAAAAAATGGTGTTCTTGTAGTCTGGTTCCCTGACCTAACTTCAGATGAAACGGAGCAAATATATATACGTCAGGGAATTGTCAGGTCGGGGAACCAGACTAGCGGGGCTTGTGTCCCATTCATGGGTGCGTAACCGATTACAAACAAAATGCGGACTAATTAAATTTTGGAAATTGGGGACAGTATTTGGAGAAAAAAAAAGTCCTTTTTTTTATATATCAGTCAGTCGCATATCTGGAGACTGTGATTGTGATAACATTTTATTTCTTCAATAAATTTCCTGAGACTTCAATGTGTGTACCCTATCTTTTCCCAATGCTGCCCTCTAGTGGTACACTCATATCAGTAACCATTACAATTTCCAGGATAAAGAGTCCATTTTGTGACAGCAGAGGGCAGTATACAGTTTCCCAGTTATTTTGGGGAATCTATCTTGTCTTTGTTCACGTTGTATCATTTTCCTCACTAAATTCAGTACAGTGTACTTGTTTTCCAATTCATACACAAGTTTGTGCTTTCCACCTTAACTTTTCATGTATTTACCGGTTACAATGTACATGTACATGTACATGTACACATTTTTGTTAAAATGTATTTGGCTGAAAGTAATGTTTAAATAAAGAAACTCTCAATTTGTGAGACACTTGAATTTGAAACTAACTCATCATCGATCATTGATAGAATTTGATCAATTTTTTTAGTGAACAAAGAAGATTGACAAGAATAAAATTTGAATCTGTGACCTCTGGATCACAGGACCAGTGCTCCACCTAAAGCTACAATGTGTGTTTTGGCAGTGTTCCACTATTTAAATCAATATTTTTGATTAACTTGTAGAGCTTTCAAGTTTTAAACTTAATTGAAGTAATCTTAATAATAGGTCAGATTTTGTTTTCTGTGTGAGAAGAGAAGATACAATTCGGGTGATTCACAATGCAGTGCGCCACCAAGAGTTTGCCCTGGAGAGTCCATATTTCAAGTTTTACGGTCGACAAAACATGGCCCATTTGAACGAGTGTCAGTAGACAACTTGAGCTAATTTGTTATAAATTGAGGCATAGCGTTCAGCCGCCTTACAAAAAACACCATATTGATAAAAAGCAAAGAAAAAGGGCAAACATATACTCGAATCATACATTTTCGAAACTGCTGACTGGAAAAAAAATAACAATTTCAAATGTCCTGCGGTGCGAATTTGTCGACCATCTCCCACAATGCACTGGGAAAAATGAACTCTCCGTGGCAAACTCTTGGTATCGCACTGCATTGTGAATCGCCCAAATTCAAAGTGTGTATCATTTTTGCTTGTGCAAGGGGGCCAGCCTACATTGTATGTAGCGTCCTGTTAATCTCACCAACTGACTCACTGACTGACTTAATAACTGAATGGCCGACTTTCATGTACTAACTGACTGACTGACTGACACTTGTGAGCAAGGGAATGCTACAGGATTAACCTGCCAATAAATGATTAGAGTTTTCGTGCACTCTGGGACCAGCTTTACGAGGCATGCCTAGTCTTGTTTCAAATGAACTTAAAAACAATGGACAAGAATAAATAAAATATCGATCTCTTTGTTGTGTGCACCAGTTTCCCACCACACCAGTGCTCACAATGGACGTAAATCAGTCAAAACGATATTTGCCGTGCGCATTAAACCCGCTTAATGGTTAACCAGCTGTCCCCCCTAAATATTTACCATAAAGATGCCACAGGACCGGGACTGTATTCCTGTCTCAGGCGCGCTGGGCCTCGAATCATCCCGGCCAAACCACACTCCATCACGTCCCGCTCGTCCGGTAATTTGCGGCTTACCAAAACTTCCCTCCCGGGTAATGAAGACGTATGCGTCGACTGACTGTCTTTTAACCCTGACCCATGCGGCAGTTACGCAGTGAATACCGAAATGCAGAGATAGACAGAGGATCTATAGAAAGGTTGAGTGGAAAAAAAAAAAAAAACGCATTCCCCTTGGCATATGGCTTCAATAAATTTTAGTCAAGCATAATCTGCTGTGATATGTTGGAAGGGGAATGTTGATGGAGCTGGCTAAGCAGCAAATTTGTGTATTATGAAAGAACCGCAGTTAATATGTGAACTAGTCACACACTGTATAATCTACATGCTTATGGACTGCCCACAAGAATTAAGTAAAATTGATTCGGAATCCGAAATCGGAATCATGCATGACTCAAGTTTTCAGAAGAATAAACTGTATAGTACCCGTTTGATTCAATTTCCAGACACTTCAGTGTTTAGACTACGTACATCCGCATCCGTGTTTCGGCAAGCGGCAAAGATTATTTTTGTGCAGCACTTTCCCTTCGACTGTGTGCCAAGGGTCCCTCCATGCGTTGACATGGCTTGGTACATGTACATGAATGTATCTCGTCTTTTAGGGTTCTTGTCATGAGAAATTTTAATATTTTTACATGGTTAGAGAGGAGGATAATATGAGGCTACAATGTGCAAATAATTTGGAGTCTGCAGACCAAATACAGAGGGAGAACACTTGAAATACGAATCCTTATCTTGCTATATTTCAAATTTAATAGGCCTCTTGTCATAACCTTTTTTTTTGGGGGGGGGGTGTTTCTCTACTTCTTGTCTGCTAAATCTTGAAGTCAATTATATAGAGGTATTCTTATTGGATGTAATTAAAACCAAATGCATTACCCAAGTCCAATAACCTACGGAATTTCGGCTGGTTAAATTCTTCTTGGGTTATATTTTTTTGCAAAGTATCTCTCTGGAAAATGTGACCTAAAGTTTGATAAAAAAATTATTTTTGAATACCTGAAGCATCAATCATCCTCCTGTGTAAATAATCTTTCAAGATTCAGGTTACCTGTACCCTTTGTGTTCTTCACAACAAACTTGCGGCAACTTGACGCTGGAACAGGATGCATCTGTACACATTGGCTAGCTCATGTGCTTTGTGGCATGAGATACCTGTCATATCATGTTGCTCAGGAGACCAATGCATTGATATAGGTTATTGATTTGATGGTCTCCATTTCAGTTGATTGACCAGGAGTTGGGGACTTTCTTGCATGGAAAATATTTCTGCTTATGTGATAGACACGTACACTTATTTATTTGGTAAGGAATTGACAGTGAAGGTTCAGTGCGATCCATTAATGTTGTAACCGAATCCACCCATGATAGTTGAAGTGAAATTATGACATGCTCCTGTGCAGACCAAAAGTGCCTCCTGCAAAGAACTAAAATAAATTTTTATCAAATTTTCAACATGAGTATAATGAAGGCTTTGTTCAGTTCACCTGTTGATTAAAGAATATTTACGAGATGTCTGTAGATTTGGCACAGAAAGGTGAGAAACAAGACCTTTTTTTCACTGAGACCAAAACTTGACCTGCCAGTCATACTTAAAAGGGCCCATGTAATGTCATTTCGTTTAATGCAAACCTTGAAACTGCACTTTTGTGTCCCATTTAACCTTAATTGTTTTCAATTTTCAATTTGCCATTTCCAAGGGTATTTTGGTGCCTTTTTGGTTTTATGTGCTGCAGCGAGTTTCCATATTCGTGAGCAAAAACTGTGATGTCAATTTACGCAGAGACCTCAATGTTACAACTGTTTCAGCACCAAAAGTTGCCACAATTTTGGATACTTTGCTGTTGTAAATTTTCTTTTCGTTGGTGATTCGTTGTTGTTTCAGGACTGTAAGCCCATGAGCAAACCTTTCTCAAAAATGTTTTCAACGAGCACAATTTTGAGTTCACAATTTGAAGAGAAAACCTCCTAACTGACCGCAGTGTCTTCATGAATGACTTCACAGCAACAGCGCCCTCACTTGTCAGGAAAAGCACGGACATTTTTTAATGCTTAAAGAAATGTACTTTTCAAATAAATGAACCAAAAAGGAATGTCAAATAGTTTTCATACATTTAAGAGGAGGATAGAAAGTTGCAAAAATATGTTCTTAAGTAAAATTCATGTCATGGTCCCTTAAAAAAATTGTCCCTCCCTTGTTGTGAATGTAAATTGTTGTCACGGGTGACAAAATGACTCCCAGGAAGTGAGAAATGATAAGTTGGAACGGAATCGTCAGAAATCTCGTTTGAACAGACCTTTTGCCTTTGCTCAAAGGAAACACTAAATCTTTGCACTCGTAGTCACAGGAAGTGGGCATTATGTACCTAACAAAGAGATTAAAGTTGCATGCCTGAGTCAGTTTTGACTTTCATCTTGAAAAATAGATTCCTTTTGCAAATTGATGTTTTTCTAGCAATACAAAGTTATTCACTCTGGAATGAAACAACGACCGGAAAAAAAAACGGCCCTTATTTAGTTAGAACTGATTTATTACTTTACAAATCTCCGAATTACTTCCCTCCCAGCTATAATTCAGTTCTCGTTGGGTAGGCTGGTTCCCGGCCCACAGTCGGTATCGATAATGTACAGACCAGGAACCAGTCTGCTTGTAAGGCACATCCATTTGTATCCAAAATGAAAACCTTTATTCAGGGGGTTGCAGAACACCTCCTTCCCCCCCCCCCCCAAAAAAAAGGTTTGGGGTTGGAATAAAACATACAATTTGGAAATTTAAAAGTGAAAATAAAATTTGTTGAAGAGTACAGGGAAAGTAACTTTAAGTCCAAACCGAAAGCCAAGAAAAAAAATGTAAAAAGGTCAAACAAAGCAAGAACAACTCTCATAAAAAGATTGAAACATCCTTGAAATCTTCAGTCTCAAAGTGACAAAAATATTGTCAGTCTGGGACCTACATGTACATGTGTATGTTTTAATGCTGAAAATAGACAAGCGAGTGAGTTTGTGAATGAATTGTTTCGGTCTCATTAAAATTAAGTAAATATGATAGGCTGGACTGTCACTGACATACAAATCCCACCGGATTGAAGTTGGCAATGCAGCCTCCCATTAAAGGTCCTGATTGTGTGGGTATTTTGTTTAGCCAGCGCTGCGGAGAATGCAGTGATTGCATTGGCCTTTGGGGAAAGAAAGGAAGGGGGGAAACGGGAGGAGGTGAAGTGGAAGGTTGGTTGACACAGTGAGGCATGCGGGCCGGTGGTGGTGGGAGGGTCGACAGTCAGCGTGCTACAGTGCAAGATGATCAGTGAATGAGGGAAAACATCCAGAAGATTAATATTCACAGCTCAGCGAGTTATGGCACCGTTGCGGTCCTGTCCGGTGCCAGTGTGTGAAGTTATTCGATTCATGGGATGAGGCAGTATCCAGTATCAAGACCTGCATTGGGACTTGGTGTTCGCCTCTGAAATAGCGAGGCATCTGTGTCGAATTACATTACTTTGAAAGGGCATGCAGACAACAGAATCCTGTTCAAAAAGGTGCATTGAATTATGGACCTGGACTAGACTGTATTCTGTGATTTTATGCCCCGTCAGCAAAACCGAAGGGGAATATTGACTTTGGAGAAGAAGTTACACCGATTTGGAATTGGGAATCACAATGCATGTCGTGTTTGGATGGGACGGCAGATAAGTCAACATTTACCGTAATTTGCAGCGACGAGTATTTTGTTAGAAAATTCCAACTGCATGGCCATCCGATACGTGGCTGTGTGCCAAAATAATTTGGTGTGTACACAGAGACAGAGCCAGTTTTAATGGGCTAAGCACACCCTAACCTCCTTCACCCGCTGCAGACGATATCGTGACAGACAGCATCCCGTGGATCACTTAAAATATCTTCAGCTCATCCGGGGTCGCTACGTCATTGCTCCAAGAGGAGCCCTGGTGGGAATGTGTCTTAAGGCCTGCGATGAACAGTCGTCAAGTCCCTCCTGCTGCATGGGGAGACCACATATCAGTCTTCTCTCCGCTAATGGGAGGTCAGGGCAGCTCTGCCAGACAAGACAACGAAGAGTGTGAAAGACTGCGAGGGAGGCGCCACAGTCGCGACAAAGGCAGGGGAGCTGATGCGAAGACACTCGCACTCAGAACCATCTTCACGGGAGTTAAACGCCAGATTAAGCGGATTTAGAAAAGAGATCTGTAATCGATGAGGGATTTTTTTTTTTTTCATTTTGAGTTCACCGCGGCAAGAATTTTCGATGGTGAAGTCTGATGAGCAGTTGCCATGGTAACAGAGCAGCTTTTTCTCCGAGGAATTCTCTTCACTCCCAGGTGCAGTTTTTTGGAGGAGACGGACGCGCCGGCTGATGGAATACTGATGAGAGGAGAGTGCAACTGCAGAATACATCTGTTGCCGGAGGACCACTTTTCAGGATGGCTTATTCCGGATGACAGAAACATCTTAATTGATATGTACTTTGCATTAAAAGCACCTGGAGACTGATGCATACATGTACATACCAGTAAATTTTCCTGCACATGTGCAGTGCAAGTATTTCATCAAGCTACCTGCACTTTGTGGAGTTGCCAATACATGTACATTATCAACTTGTTGGAACTTAGCTAATGTTGCAGTGTGTAATGAGTGAATAAACACGGATTGGAAGAAATAATTGATTTCTCTTTTGAGACAAGCTGCTCTGACTGCCTGCTGAAGCTGGTGATCTGTGCTGATGCGCCGCTGTCAACATTCTGCATCATCAGGCAAAAGTCGTAGCTAATTTGAGAGTCCCGGAAGCTTATGACTAAGTCATTATTCGTTATCGCATTTCTAATCACAAGCCACTTAGCAGAGAGAGAAAAGCACTTGGCTGTACTGTAGCGTTTGGATCTGTTGATTGGGTTATCATCAGACTGAGTCGTCTTGATGTCTCTTGTCTCGCTGTGGAGTTAATGAAAGGGCCAAACTGTTATTTTGAGGAGATCTTGCACAGTCATCCCAGGCGCATATTTGAATGGATTAATCAGCAAAAGGAAACAACACGGCGAATATCTTAATGCTTCTATACATTGCACTTGGGATTTTTTTAGAATCCGCTGTCTCGCCGCCGGTCTCGGTATCACAACCTCTCAAAACTTCCCCAAAGGAGCCTCGGCCCGCAATCATAATAATGATGATACCTTAGACCACGAGACCACATACACGCATGGATGTGTCTCATCCAGTCAGTGTTTATCGGCATTGACTGGCGAGGACGTGTTGTGTGAAGGCTTGCATGCGAGCACTCAACAAAAAAAAAGAATGTTGCTGCATTAATTGCCGGCACAGCGGTTAACCCGTATTAATTTGCAGGCGGGACGCCTCACACAGGAGCATATTGACACCTGCTTGACATAGATTGAAAAAAAAAACATAATAATTTGATATCGTTGGAATGTTCATCAGCTATTCTCTGGCTATGGCAGATGTACTGTAGCAGCTGAATTTTTTTTGTGGCATCAAGGTCTTGGAACATTCGGAGCTATCGATCTTTTGTTCGTGCTGCTGTCACCGTTTCACATGCAGTTTTGGGGATTAGTTACTCAGAATGGCGAATTTCAACAATGGTAACATGTGCCCTCCAGGGCAGAGGACGACTCGAACCAATGCGGACATGGTAAGAAAACCATTTATTTTTGTGCTGATTATTCTTCATCTTGTTCTTGTTCTTCCATCTGGAATCTTTCAACTTAAATAAATATGTGGTTTTTCTTAGTTATTTAGAATTTGTGTATGATTCTAGTTTGTCCATCAAAATGTTTGCATTCACTATAGTTTACCTATGTGTACTGTACATGTATTTGTTATTTGGTTTTTTAAAATTATGTTTTAAAAACTTTTTCAATGATTTAGTATTAATTTTGTTTCCTACTGGTAATGACTTGGTGGTTTGCGTTTCAAAAAGTTTGTCATGCACAGCAGATGTTTATGAAAAGAAAAAAAAACATGCATTTAATTATTAAAAAAAAAAATACTCAATTAAATCAAATTATAAACAGGCAAAATATAATATTGGTACTTTACTGAAACATGTGGCATCTAGTCAAATTTGGTTTGTGACGTGAAGCGATGCTCGTAGTAGCTTTTGTCGAAAACAAATTCCTGTACTCAGCGTAAATCAATAACTTTTCCATGGGTCGATCTCCATATTTGATCGTGCCTAATTGGCCGGCTGCGATAAACATCGTGAGTGTGTACGCGATGACCTAAAAAAATTCTCTCACCCTCCCCCACCCCCCTCATTCACGTCAGAAATTTTGACAGACGTCTCCCTCGTTAAACACGATTGTGAGGCTCGGTAAACACAAGCTGACTGACGAAGCAACTGAACAAAAAAAAAACGTACCCGGTACTCTGCGCCTGTGTCCATAATTCAACTTACCAAGCCAATTTGAGAAGGGGAACCAGTTGTTGGAAATTCCACGCATATGTGTCAGTCGAGGTTTTACGGCATTGCCCGAGGAATTTACTATTGCTCTCCCTTGTCTGTCAATTAGAAAATTCTAAACTTTTGTATATATTTTTTTTTCCAAAGCTGAAATTCTTTTCTGTCTTTCTTTGGGCTATAAGGTCAACGCTTGTGTTTATTTTTGTTCAAAGTTCAAGCATGTTGATGATTGGAAGTTGTAAAGTTTTATTCATTTTATTCATAATAATATAAATCAGAAGCAATCTTATTTTTTAAGTGAATAGTAATTGCAAATGAAGGCCCCATCAAAGTTGTTTTTATCATACTTAAGTACTATACAAACATGTACTAACAGTGGCAAAAAAGTAACTTAACGTGAGTACATTAAATTCTTAATCTTCAATTTACAGGAGTGAAACCCATTCAAAGTAAATTCTTACCGCAGTTTGTGTGTGGACATCATTAAAATCGAGCATCCTGGTGATTTAAACAAGGATTACGGCCTTTTTTTTCATTAATAAGCACTGAAAGTGCTGTGTACTTTCCGTGGCGCCTTGGGGAATATATATATTCACATGAAG